TACTGTAATAGGTTTTTGTGCCATTTTATGTGATGTAATTTACCCTTTTCTGCCTCCTTCTTTCTTCTTCTCCCAGTACAATCCCTTTTCACCACTTATTTAGATTTTTTATCATCATATGAAAGTCAACTTATACCCACTCTCTCTGTCTATGTATAGCCCTTTTAAATGTCATAATAAAGGTGCAGTTCTCAGGAGTTATAAGTGTCACCTTCCCTCATAGGGATGTAAACAGTTTGCCCTTATTATTGACATGTTTTTTTTTTCTGTTTACCTTTTTATGCCTCTCTTGAGTTTTGTATTTAAAGATCAAATTTTCCGTTGAGTTCTGGTCTTTTCATCAGGAAGGTTTGGAAGTCCCCTGTTTCATTGAATGTCCATCTCCTCCCCTGAAAAATTATGCTCATTTTCGCTGGGTAGTTGATCTTTGGTTGTAATCCAAGCTCCTTTGCCTTATGGAATATCATATTCCGTGCCCTATGATCTTTTAATGTAGAAGCTGCAAGGTCCTGCAAAATCCTTACTGTGGTTCCATGATATCTAAATTGTTTCCTTCTGGCTACTTGCAGCATTTTCTCTTTGACCTGGTAATTTTGGAATTTGGCTACAGTATTCCTTGGCGTTTTCAATTTGGCATCTCTTTCAGGAGGTGATTGATGGATTCTTTCAATGACTATTTTACCTTCTGGGTCTAGGACCTCAAGGCAGTTTTCCTTTATGATTTCCTGAAAGATGCTGTCCACGCTTTTTTTTTTCTTTCATCGTGGTTTTAAGGTAGACCAGTAATTTTAAAATTGTCTCTTCTGGATCTGTTTTCTGGGTCATTTGTTTTACCGATAAGGTATTTTAGGTTTTCTTCAATTTTTTCATTCTTCTATTGCTGTTTGACTAATTCTTGATATTTCATAGAGTCATTAGCTTCCACTTGCCCAATTCTAATTTTTAACAAATTGTTTTCTTCTATTATTCTGATAATTTATTTTTTGTAAAATCTCCTTTCCCTCTCATGAAAAGTTTTGTTTTCCATTCTTCTAAAATCATGTAAACTAATTTATTAGTTTCTTTTAAATTGGCGCTGTCTTATGAATTACATTTTTAAAAAATTTTACTAATTTCCCCTATAAATTTTAGAATTTCTGCTTCATTGTTTAGTTTGGGATTTATTTGTACAAATTAATTTTTTTTTTAATTTGGTGAGGCAGTTGGGGTGAAGTGACTTGCCCAGAGTCACACAGCTATTGAGTGTTATGTATCTAAGGCCAGATTTAAACTCAGGTCCTCCTGACTCAGGTGCTCTATCCGCTGTAGCTGCCCCCAAGTTAAAAAAAGATTTATACCCAGTTCATTGATTTGTTCTTTCTTTGTTTTGTTGTGATGTTAATTTTTTCTGAAGAACTGATTTACTCGTAAGTTTTGGTGTATTTTCTCATTATTGTCATTTTCTTTAATGAGATTTCCTATCGTTTCTCTAATTTGTTTCTTGACCTACCAGTTTTTAGAATTATGCTGTTTAGACTCTAATTAGTTTTTAATTTTTTGAAAGTCTTTTATTGAATATAATTTTAATTGCATTTGATTATTAAATGTTGAGTATTTTCATTTTTCTGAATTTTTGGGGAATTCCTTATGCTGTAGTATATCATCCGTTTTTGTAAAGCTTCCATACATGACTGAGTATATAAACTGCTTTTAACTCCTATTCAGTAATCACCAGGTGCTTAGCATCTCTTATTATTATTAAATTCTGTGCAAGTCCTTAACATCTTTTTTTGTTTATTTAGATTTATTTAGCTCTGAAAGAAGTTCTTGACATCTGCTACTAATATAGTTTTAGTCCCTGCAATTTGATTAACTTTTTCCTATTTTCCTATTTCCTTTTCTTATTGAGATTATTTGCTGGGGGCAACTAAGTGGTTCAATGGATGGAGCACCAGCCCTGGAGTCAGGAGGACCTGAATTCAAATCCAGCTTCAGACACATGATACTCACTAGCTGTGTGACTCTGGGCAAATCACTTAACACTGATTGCCTTGCAAAAAGAAAAAAAAAAGAATCGAGATAATTTGCTTTTCAGTGATTATCATTAGTGCTCTTGATTTGTTATTTATGGTTCCTTTGAGCATCGTATTGCTTCCCTACTTATCTCTTTATTATGTCTATTTGCTGTAGCTTCTTATGAAATCACAATTGCTACCTTTGGCTTCAGGTGAACCATAATCAATTTTGCTGCAGCCTCTTAGTATTTATCCATGTGCATTTTTGTGTTTCAACTGTTGGCATATGGTTTGAATATGTTTTCCGGTGCATTCTGCTCTTCCATTTTATTGGTGAGATTGTCCCATATGATTATGGTTGGTAATTGTGTATTTCCTTCCTTCCTGCCTTCTAGTTTTTTCCTTTTTTTTTCCTCGCCTCATCTTTACAAATATGAAGAAGATGATTAGAGAGGAATTTTGTTGTATAAATGAAATGAGCTATTTCTGCTCTTTTGCACCCCTTCTTCTCCCATTTAATGTATTTCCATGCCATGATCTTGGGTGTGTGTGTGTGTGTGTGTGTGTGTGTGTGTGTGTGTGTGTGTAGGAATAGGATGTAATTTTGTTCAGTCATCCTTTTCAGGTTCAGGTGAAAGTGAGGTTTGTGGCATACCCTTTCCCCTCCCATACTTTCTCCATATTTAAATAACTCTTCATTTTATGTACCTCTGTTACATCTTATGTACATCTATTGCATCTTTCCTATCTCAGTATAAACCCGTTTCCTTCCCATTTCTGTCTAGTCCTGAGACCAACCTTGCACCTTGTGTCATATTTGGCTTTCCTTATGGCCTTTAAACATATTTCTATAGTTCTAGGGAGATTTGTGGTTCTTATCCCCCCCATTAGCATTATTAACAGTTCATCCCCACATAGACTCATCAGATGTGTTTAGCTTTTGTTTTCATTAGGAATATTTGGAAATACTCTATTTCAGCAGCCTGTTGTTTTACCCTATAGGATTACATTAGGTTTGGCTGGATGAATCATTCTTGGTTGTAAGACTTTGTTATATGCCTTTTAGAACACAATATTTCAAGCTCATCTCTTCATTATAGTTGCTGCCAAATCTTGTTTGATCCTTACTGTGGCTCCACCTCATTTCATTTCTTCAAATACTCTTGTAATCCTTGTGTCTAAGACATGTTTTCCCTCTGAGGCTCTACTTGGACTTGTGGGGTTACTCTTCTTCGAGGTTTACCCCTTAGGTATCTCTCAGGTATTTCTTTAGAGTATTTGGTGAGTTTGCTCATCTCATCAGCCTAGTGTGTAGGTTGGGTGGCCTTTGCTTGGGTCAAGTTCCTACGTTCCCAGCGGTGTGGGCAGGCCCTGCTTGTTCCTAAATGTGGTGACTAAAACTAGGCCTCTCCTTCTGAGGGAATTGTTTGGCATTGTTTCCTTTTGTAGTTTAGGACCCGGCAGCCTGGATGCTAATTTGTGCTGGGATTACTCAGATCCTGCTCGGAACCTTTTTACTACTATGTCCAGATCTGTTGGTTGAGCTCTTTTTTTCTCCCCTCCTATGAAGTGACTCTCAGGATGTAACGAGGACCACTTCCCTCACTGAGCTTCACAGTTCCTTCCCCACCTTTCCCTTGCCATGGAGCTCATCACCTCAACTCCCCTGGACCTTGCTGGCTCTTGCATCTGGATTTCTGAGACATGCCTGAACTGCTCTCTGCCTAGTATTGTGCGCTTGTTAAGGTATTTTGCGGCCATCTCATTGTATTTCATCATCTGTAAAATAGAAATAATAATAGAACCTACCTTACAGGCTTGCTGTGAGGATGAACTGAATTACTAGTATGTAAAACTTTATAAATCTTTAAAAGTGTTATTTTCTTTTTTATCACTTGTTCGTCTCAATAGTGACTAACTTTTAAAATCATTGTGCTAAGGATACTCTTATGAATTTGAAACTGTCAACTAATTTGTGTAAGTTATCATTTTACCAACTTATTGGGTAATTTAATGTGCCTTAATTTTCTATCTTTAAGAAAATATCTCTGCCTTCTTTGAGCTTTTGTATATATCTGTATGCATGTTCTCTCCATATTTGCATATGAATATATTGTTTCCCCTGTTAGAATGTAAGTTCATGTGCAGGGATTGTTTCATTTTTATCTTTGTATACCCAGTACTTAGCACAGGGTCATATATAAAGTAGCTGCTTAGTAAATATTTTTATCTTAAATAAAATTAGCTTAAAAATTTCCTTGAAGGAAAAGAATGTTTTGCTTTTGTCATATCACCAATGATTAGGACAATGTCTGGTATATTGTAGGTAGTTAATGCTTACTGACTTGAATCGAATGGTTCCCTTCCTCCTGAATTAACTTCCTTCCTCTACCATTAAAGATCAGCATCTGTCCTGAAACTTTGGAGAGTTTACTTGGAGCACAGACATTAAGTGCCTAGGTTCCCATAAGCCAGTAAGTGTCAGAGGCAGGATTGAACCTAGGTTTTCCTGGCTGTCAAGCCAGTTTACTATCCAACATGCCACATTGCTTTTCTGATATAGATAAATATCAGACCATGTCCTAATAGAAACTAAAGAAAACGTGTGTGCCTTTATAACCTAAGTCAAAAGTAAAGTAGTACTAAGTTTCTTTCTTAAGAACAACTTCATTTTGTGATTGACATTGTGACCAGTGTTTCTAAGCTAGGAATTCTTGTGTGTAATTTTTTTTTTGTTGGAAAAATGGAATAATTCATGTTGTGAAAAATCTGTCTTCACCCATCTACCTGTCTATCATCACTAATGTGAAAATATGTTTAATAAGAATGTATATGTATAGCCTATATCAGATTGTGTACCGTCTTGGGAGGGAGGTGGGGAAGAAAAATTTAAAACTCAAAAGCTTATGGAAGTGATTGTTGATAAATCAAAATAAATTTTTTTAAAAAATCTGTCTTTATGATTTAGTGAATATATGTTGGTTGTTGTCTATGTTTTTAAAACAGGTATGACCATATTCTGAAATGGGAACTCTTCCAGCTTGCTGATCTTGATACATACCAGGGAATGCTAAAGCTGCTCTTCATGAAAGAACTGGAACGTATTGTTAAATTATATGAAGCATACAGAGAAGCTCTTCTCACAGAGTTAGAAAACCGCAAACAGAGACAGCAGTGGTATGCCCAGCAACATGGCAAAAATTTTTAAGCTAATTTTTAATGAAAATTTGTGAAGTTTTATAATGACTTTGAAATATTTTTACTTTTTTAAAAACTGTTTTGGCTAAGAAAAGCAGCTTTCATTTTGTTGATATTGCACTATTGAATGTAATTCTACATGTATTTGGTTTATAGAATAAAAAACTCCTTTTATTGATTAAAAAAATAAAGTTAGCTTATTCCCTTGAGAGCCAGGTATTGTTGAGATTACTTGATTTCAACATTACCTTCTAAAAATTGCATTGTTTAGGAAACTGCCTTATGAATTTTATAAATAAAGACATGTAATGAGGCACACTGTCACTACCAGACAACTATTACTAAACACAAAATCATCATTTGGTAGTCTCTTAGGGCTGAGAAACACCTATGGAAAAATCAAGTCTGACACACCCATATGTTTGTGTGTGTATATGTGTGTGCTTGCACATGCACATGCATACTTAGATGTTTATGGCTTTCTTTATGTATTAAACTGAAATTATATGGATAATTAAAATACTGTGTAATAGTACAAAACATGTTGGAATGGGGGAATCGCTTATAACTTTCACATAATGAACTTTTCATTTTGACTTTTAAGAACTTCAAGAAAGCTTTATTTAAAGATGTTTTCAGTTCACTTCCAAAAACATTCTTTAGCATAAGAGGGAGAGGCACTTGGATCAGTCTCACAGTACTAAGTGTCCTGAGGCACAAGCCTACCTCTGGGAGACAGTGTACACAGATAGGAAAGAGGACCCGAATAAGAATCCTGTCTTTGCAATTTGCCACCTGTGTGACCTTGGTCATGACATCTGACTTCTCTGAACGTCAGTTCCACATTTATGAAATGACTGGCTTGAACTCTTAAGGCCCATGACTTTTACTGATCTTAGTACAATGTTGGAGAAACACAACATAGCTTAATGTAGTCATTGTGGTCTTTTTTTGTAGACTGATATCCTGACATGTTGACAGGTTGCTTTAAGTTGTAAAGATCAGGGATTCAGCAAGAAAAAATTTTTTTTCAAAATGATTTGACATTTTTCCATGTTGTAAGAGGTTTTTTGGTTTTTTTTTTGTAAAGCTTTTAGGTTGTATAACTACTCTTCTGAGTTATTTTTCATTGGTTCCGTAAGTTGTCTAAATGTTTGGGATCTAGTTTAGTGCAATACTTTAGAAGGATTTCATGTAACATTTCCTTATAAATCCCAAGAAGTCAATAAATTTCAAATTTTTGTTTTTTTCAGAGTGAGTATTTTTTGTCAATTATTATTTGCATTAATAATACCACATAGTAGAGTGTTAGTGAGGCTGTACTATAATTAAAATATTACTAATGTTTATAGGTTTTTCATCTTATGTTAAGCTTCTTAATTACAGTTTTATGAAATTTAAGTATGTTTGCCGAGGTTCATGTTATTCAATATACTCGTATAGCAGTAGAGAAGAGTAGTTGAAATAATCAGAAATATCACTGACAGAGTGAAGATTATGACGTTATTGTACTTCTTAACTGTCTTCGATGTGTAATAGATAGTACATGCTAGACATGCAGACGTTAAAGAGCTCTCTCATTCTATATAGTGGACAAATTCTTTTTCCATTTATATTGTTCTGATTAGGAGTAGAGGTTTTTTTTTCGCTTTCCTTTTTTGTTTTTTTAAGAAATTAGGCAGTATTAGAGTATAATTTGCTTTCCCTCAGGGGACCCTTTTTTGTAATATGAAGTCTGATCAAGAATACTAAACTCTCAGTTTCTTTGTAAGTTTAACTTGTGCCTTTCCACATGTTTATTCTAAAAGTCTGTGTTTAGACTTAATGATTAAAATGAAAATTTTACTCTAGTTTATCAATTGATCTTTAGATATAGAGGGAAGTGTCTACATTTCTTCAAATCTCAAAGTACATTTTTAACAAAATCCAATTTTTGTAAAAATATAGTGTTTATAAATTGTGATAACCTTTACAAACCTCTCAAATATTCTAATGACTTATAATCAATCTCTCAGGAAAGTGAACTTTAATAATAGTTCCATCTGGTCAAAGAATAAACCTGTAAAGAATACATTTTATATAATCTAAGTGGAAAAAAGAATACAGGACAGTAAAACTTTCAAATATATGTGCAAAAGTCTTTTTTGTTCATTTATGACAAATAGAAGCACTGCTTTAATCATGATAAAGGAAAAAAATCTTCAGTTTTTGGCACAGCAAATGAAAAGGTTCTATCAAGTGTACTTAAAATAATTAAGAGTTCATAGTACATATAAGGTGATATAGTATGTATCAAACATTGGATTACTATACTATGCTTATACAAATACTTATATGATTTTTAGTTTATTTCTTCAGAAATCAAATTAGCATATAGAAACTTGTAGGAATACCACTACACATTTAAATTAATTATAAGCCAGTAGTATTAGTTAGTGAATTCAAGTGGAACACATGTATTATATTAATAAATAAGAGAATACATTTTAATATTAACTTATAATATGTGTCACAGAAAAATTGGGAAACCATGCTTATATTTGCTTATTAAATACTTAAAGAGGAAACAGACGATTTTCAATTTTTTGTTTTAATCTTAAATACTTTAAAATATGTACATGGATACATGTAACTGATGATTTAATGGATAAATGTTCATGCACCTATTTTTAAAATGTGGATTACATTTTCTTGCGTTTTGATTCTTCAGTAGGGTTTGATTTTGATGCAGGAAAAGCATGATGATACAAATGTCTGTGGGTTGATGCTGCACTGTAGAGTTTATATAAAGCCTGAAAATACAAAAGAATAACTTCAAAAGCATAGTTAATATTATTAAACATTTAAGTAGGCAAACATAATTATATCTCAGAATTGTTCTTTTTTGAGTGTCTTAAACACTCCATTTTCTTAATCATCAAGTTATACCTTATATCAAGCCAAAATTGTTCTCTTTGTGACTTGTTCCTGTTGCCCCAAGTTCAAAAGGAGTTGGATCCCCTATCCATATAATAGCCCTGTTTGAAGACAGCTATCATATCTCTGCTGAGTCTTTTCATCATGAGGTTAAATGTGAAAAGTTCTTTCAACTGAACTTAGTTGATTCTTCACCATATGTATAGTTATCTTCAAGATAGTCTCCAGCTTATCAATGTTCTTCCCAAAAGACTGAACACACTATTGGTCTGACCAGGACAGGGTACAGCAGGGTTATTACTTCCCCAGTTCTGGATACTGTATCTTTCTTAATTCAGGCTTATAAGCTGTTGATCATATATGATGTACAAAATATGTGAGATCATATCAGCATATTATGCTTTCAGCTCATATTGAACTTGAAGTCCACCAAAATACTTAATGAAATTGAGGACTTTCAAGCATTCCTAATGAGAAGACCAGAACTGAATAGAAAAATTTCACTTTAAAATACAAGACTCAAGCATAAAAGGGTAAATAGGAAAGAGAAATCATAAGGGATTCAATAAGGTTAAACTGTTAACATTCCTATATGGAAAAATCATACTTATAGTTCTTAAGACCTTTATCATCATTAGGGCATTTAGGAGTGTTACCTAGACAAAGGGCACAGAGTTGACTATGATGGGATGGTATAAAAAAATTAAAGGGTGAGAAAGAGGTAATCACTGGGAGAAGGGGAAGAAAGGTAGGTAAAAGAGGCATGAAAGCTTTTACAGTGGAGGGAAAAAGAGAGGGATGGGCATCACTTGAACCTTACTGTCATCATAATTGGCTCAAAGAGGGAATAACATACACACTCAGTTGGGTATAGAAATCTGTCTTACCCTACAGGAAGGTAGAGGGGAAGAGTTTAAGAGCAGGGGAGAGTCTGATAGACAGGAGGATGAATTGTGGGAGGCATTGGTCAGAAGCAAAACACTTTTGAGGTGGGGCAGGCTGAAAGGAGAGAGAAAGGTAAAGAGGGGGAAAAAAGCAGGATGGAGGGAAATGCACAGAAATCATAACTGCGAATGTGATTGGGATGAACTCACCTATGAAACTTTCCCCTCAGAACTAGATAAATCTAACCAAAAAAATGAACAAGAACGAAGTTAAGGAGATGAAGAGAATTTTAGAAAAGTTAGATATGATTGACGTCTGGAGAAAATGGAACAGGAAGAGAAAGGAATATACCTTTTTCTCAGTGATACGCAGCACCTACAGAAAAACTGATCGTGTATTAAAACCTAACAGCCAAATGCAGAAAAGCAGAAATGTTAAATGCATCCTTTTCATTCATAATTCAATAAAAGGCCATGGAAATAGTGATGAAAAATTAATTGGAAACTAATCTAATCCTAAAGAACGAGTGGGTCAGAAATCATAGAAACAATGAATAATTGAAGAGAATGACAACCATGAGACAACACACCAAAATTTGTGGGATGTAGTCAAAGCAGTACTTATGGGAAATTTTACATCAACAAAATTTAGAAAGAACAGACCAACAGAATTGGGTATGCAACTAAAAAAGAAAACTAGAAAAAGAACAAATTAAGAATCCCCAATTAAACACCAAATTGGAAATCCTGAAAATCGAATGAGAGATTAACAGAATTGTAACAAAACCATTGAACTGATAAAACCAGAAGCTGGTTTTATGTAAAAACCAATAAAATAGGTTAACCTTTGGTTAATTGATTTAATGGAAGAAGAAAACCAAATTACCCGTATGAAAGAAATGAAATGAAAAAGGTAAATTCAGTACCAATGAAGATGAAATTAAAACAATTATTAGGAACTATTTTGCCCAACTGTATGCTGGTAAACTTGACAATCTAAGTGAAATGGATAAATATTTATAAAAGTATAAATTGTCTAGGTTAACAAAAGATGAAATAGAATACCTAAATAACCCTATCCAGGAAAAAGAAATTGAACAAGCTACCTTAGAAGAAATCATAAGGACCAGATGGATTCACAAGTGAATTCTACCAAACATATAAAGAACAATTGATTTCAAAACTATATAAACTATTTGGAAACATAGGCAAAGAAATAGTCCTGCTAAATTTCTTTTACAACACAAATATGGTTTTGATGCCTATACCGGGAAGAGCAAAAACAGAGAACAAATACTATAGACCAATTTCCTTAATGAATATTGATGCAAAAATTTTAAATAAAATGCTAGCAAAAAGATCACAGCAATCTATCACAAAGCTCATACACTAGGACCAGGTGGGATTTATATCAGGAATACAGGGCTGATTGAATATTAGGAAAACTATTGGCATAATTAGTCACATCAATAACAAAACTAACAAATCATAGGATTATCTCAATTGGTGCAGAAAAAGCTCTTGACAAACCACAACGCTCATTCCTATTTAAAAACAATAGAAAGCATAGGAATGAATGGAGCTTTCCTTAAAATGATAAGTAGTGTCTGTCTAAAACCATTACTAAGCATTGTCTGTAATGGGGATAAACTAGAAGCCTTCCCAATAAGATCAGGATGAAGCAGGGTGCCCATTATCATCATTATTGTTCAATGTTGTAGAAGTACTAGCTATAGCAATAAAGAAAAAAAATTAAAGGAATTAGAATAGGTGATGATGGAATAAAACTGTCATTCTTTGGTGATGTTATAATGCTATACTTAGAGAATTCTAGAGAATCAACTAAAAAAGTTGAAGTAATTAACTTTAGCAAAGTTATAGTATGCAAAATAAATGTATATAAATCATCAGCATTTCTATAGATTACTAACAAAGTAGTAAGAGATAGAGAAATTCCATAACTGTAGACAATATAAAATGCTTGGGAGTCTACCTGCCAAAGCAAACTCAGGAATTATATGAACACAATTACAAAACACTTTTCACATAAATAAAGTTAGATCTGCACAATTGAAAAAATATGATTTAGTCATGGGTAGGCTGAGGCAATATAATAAACATTGCAATTGTACCTAACTTAATTTTCTTACTTAGTTCCATAACAAGCAATCTACCAAAAATTATTTTGTAGAGCTAGAAAGCTAGAAAAAGAATGACAGATTCATCTGGAAGAATAAAAGGTCAAGAATGTCAAGGGAATCAATGAAAAAAAATTGTAAAGAAAAGTGGATTAGCCATGCCAGATCTCAAACTATTACAAAGCAGTAATCATGAAAACAGCTGGTACTGACTATGAAAGAGAGCAGTGGATCAGTGGAATAGATTCGGTTCACAATACACAGTAGTAAACGACCATAGCAATTTAGTATCTGACAAACCCAAAGATCCAAGTTTTGGGGACAAGAACTCACTGTTTGACAAAAACTGCTGAGTAAACTGGAAATCAGTTTGTCTAGGATTGAGTAGTGTCATGAAAGCTTAGAAAAAAGAAAGTATCCAGGGTTAGAAGGTTATTGAGAATGTGAAAAGGCCAAGGAGATAAAAGGCCATTTGGCAATTAAAGAGATCAATAGTAACTTTGGGGAAAGTGGTTTTTAGGTAAATAATGTTAGATGTTAGATTTTAGAGATAAGAAGATGAAAACTAAAATTTAATATTGGACCCATTCAGCGCAGCGATGACTGTTGACAGCCTTTTCAAGGAGTCCAGGCACAGAAGGGAGAAGAGATAGAGTATGACAGCAGGATGGATCAAAGTGAGGGGTTTTTTCAGGATGGAAGAGACATGGGCATGTTTGTAAGTAGTAGGGAAGTAGCCAGTAGGGAGAGAGAGTTTGAAGATAAGAGAGAGTGGGCTTGATTGGGGGAGGGGGAGGAGAATTTATTGGAAAAGATGGGATGGAATGGGATCAATTGTATAGATAGAGGAATTTGGCTTGCCAAGAAGAGCTGCCTCCTTCATGTGAGAGGGGTGAAGGAGAAGAAAGTGGTAGAAGGCACCTTAGTGATATGAAATGAGGAGGGGAGAAGTGAGAGCTCTTTGTGAATGACCTCATTTTTTTTTTTGAGTGAAATATGAGACAAGGTTGTCAGCTGAGAGCATGGGCAGTAGTAGGGGAAGCCATGGGAGGTCTGAGAAGATATGGGTGATAGAGAGGGGGAAATCTGCTGGAAAAAACAGGATATAATAGGACCACTCATATGCATGTTAAAGGGTTAGCCTTAGCAAGAAAGGGCCACTTTTTTGATATGCAATAAGGGTGAATGAAGACATGATGGCAGAAGGTATCTGGGTGATATGAATATAAGGAAGGAAGAAGAAGGAGCTATCAGCAAATGGCCTTAGTCTGATGGAAAAGAATGGATGTTCACGTGTGCAAATAGAGGAATGTTACAAAAGCAAAAGTGATGATGGGGGAAGGCATCTGAGTGACAAGATGAGATAAGAGGAAGTGAAGTCTCAATTTTTTTTTTAAAAGAAATGTGTCAAGGTTCTCAGGTAAAAGGACTGGAGGCTGGAGAACTTTGGGAAATTTGAGAAGGGGTTGATTATGTTTGGAAAAGCTGTTGGAATGAGTGAGATAATGAATTGATTAGGGATGTGTAAAAGGAATGGAATCAATGAAGGTCCATTTGAGGTTACATCACATAAATTTGCGTGGATCCAGTCTCCCCTGGCCCTTTTTAAATTGATGCTTTTAAAAAACACAACCATTATCTCCTTTGTAACAAAATTAGTTAAGTAAAACAATGCTGTGGTAACTACATCAGAAAATATGATGAACATTGTGTTCTTATAGTATTCTTTTCTTAGAAAGATGATCTATTGTGCAAATTGGTCTTTATATTTAATACGAATTGTCTTTTACTGTTGTTTTCATTTAGTCAGTTGGCAATCATTTATTAAATACTCTCTATCTGTTTATCACCATATTAAGCTCTGGGGATACAAATTCCAGTAGAGGATACAATCTGAAAATAACTAGATACATACTTTCTCTTCTTCCCTCTACCTCTTGCAACAAGTTTGATTCAGGACTCATTTCAAATGACTCTTCCCCAAAAAACTTATTGGTCCTTCTAGTCTTTCACATTTCTCATGAAATTATTTTCCTCTTTAGTGTGTATACATTTTGTATTTACTTACTTTTATGTATGTTTTTTGCTCTTAAGAGAATATAAGCTCTTTTAGATATTCCTTGGTTTTTGTATTTGTCTAATGGCGAGTATAGTGCCCAACAGAGCAGGAATTTAATAAATACTTATTGAATAGGTTTTCCTACATTAAGACTTCTTTATTGCTGTATTATAGATATTAAATTAGAGTTAGTATCAGTGCTAACTAAGGCACAAATGATTCAGACTTGGAACAATTAATACTAAGATGAGAATGATGAGCCTCTAAGCCAATGTAATCATGGACCACCATGACTTTCTAAAAAGAATTAGTCTAGAGAAGTCCACCTTTCTCTAGGTTAACAAGTAAGTACAAAATTGAAGATCAAACTTTTTCCTCAGGAGTGTGACTCCTTTATATGTAAAAAGATAAAATTAGATTTATAAAAACCTGATTAATAGATCAGAGCTGAGATATGCCAAGAACGCTGTAGAATGTATTTATAAGGATGATCTCTGTAACTCAAGTAAGTAATATCAAATTACAAATGATTTATATTCTATATCTTTTAGGTTAATTTTCCCTCAGGTTAAGGTTCAGGGTTCATAATTCTGCTCACTTTGCTTTGCAATATAGGAGAAAATGGTGTACCAGAAATACTTAAGAATTATGAAAATGTGTAAGCACTGAAAAACAAAACAGATATCCACAGAAACATTATAAACTATGGGGAACTTGATTTCCAGGCTAGGTTTCTGCTCAAAGTAATTGAAGGGATAAATCAAATATTATGTAAAAGCCATATAAAATGAAAGCCATTCACAATTAAGTGTTGACCAAAAAGTTCAAAGACTACTTTATTCTACATTAAGGAGGGGAAAATTGTCTTTTAAAAAATGTCAAAGCATTTAGTAACTATGTAGTTGCAGAGAAAATACTATTACATATATTTAATAAAGATAAGCTTTTAAGAGAAAAATTTACTTACCTCATTTGTGCTTCCCTGTGGTAAAGGCAGTTGAAAAGGGAAAAAAAAATAGTATCTGTGTATTCATTTTGCTTCATTTATAACTGATATTTATACTTTATTTAGAGGACTGCCACACTATTAGCTTTTGGAAAAGGGAAATAACCCAAGATTTCGCCATATTGATTTCATGATTCATCAGCGTAATTTGAAGAATTCAGTAATACATAATCTACAGACTGCAGAATCTATGAACTTTGGGGTTCACATGCAAAAAAAAAAGGTTGTTAGTGTTATTGCTGCTTTATAATATCTACATTTTCTCAAAGATGTTGCAAATTAGTAAGTTCCTAATAAAATCTTGAAATATAAAATGCTCAATTATTTCTAAATCTATTATAACTTGATATGAAGTTTTGTCCTGATGTGAATCAGTCATTCAGTGATATCTGGGCAAATTGCAGAGGCATTGAGTATATTTATTTTCCTCAAAAAATTCTCAACTCCAGTGTCCTTTAATTTACTCTAATTATCTGAATAAACAAGTGAAAAAAATCTAGAATAACAAAATAGATTAAATGAGCAAACTTTATTAATGACATTTTAAGAGAGTGAGCTAAGGATAAAGAGATGAAAACTTCATTGGAGTCCTGTGATTCCCTATGCAACTCTGTCAAGTCATTATTTTCTAAGCTCTCTCATATCTCTTTGTGTTTGGAAATAAAATGCTTTGCAATGGTGGTGTATATGCAGTTCCAAAACAGCAAATGATAGCAAAGCCCAATTAGGTGGTAACCTGTACATATGCAGCAGTGTTGCCAATCCATTTGATTCAAACGTAGCTAAAGAAAATCTAATTTGTAAGAGTTTCTCATAAGCTTAAACTATTTTGTAAATCTTAGTGACTGCAACACAACCTGACTTTTCCTGATTCTGTGGGAGGACTGTGTTATTTAGCTCCTATCCATTTATCCCCAGAACAACTTGTAAGTCCATATCATCTAAGTAGAGCCTTAGTTTTTTAGTATAGGTACCCATAGTCTAAGTTATTGAGCATTGGGGATTAACCTTCATCTGGCATCTTGTGATAAATCATTTTGAGCTGCTTGCCCCCTTATTTTTCTGGTGCAATTAAGGTAACTTGTTAAATCTTACCAACATTTACCTTACATGCAAAATGATTATCATTTTATTTTTAGACAGGCTACCTTTTCAGAAATCTGCATTATTTGTTTTCCTTTTAGTCTTTAAGAATAATTTCTTTATTCATTATTGACCACACAGTGAAATTCTCCATTACATCATTCAAATATAAGAATACGGTCACTACCTGGTGATTACTTGAGGATATTTTCCTTATATAGAGTTTGTATTATGATCTATGGGACATACTTGTTTCCATTGATTTGGAAAAATTATTTCTATCTGTAAAATCCCATTTCTTTTTGTGTTAAATGAGGGCAGGGGCTACCTTTCTTTTTTTACTTGTATGTATATTCACAATGTTTGGCACATAGTAAGTACTTAATAAATACTTTATCTAATCATCTAAATAGAAAAATGGTTGACTGGTTCTACGTAGAGAGCTTAAAAAAAGTGCTGTTGGAATTGGTTTTATAGTGGTTCTAAGGACAACATAAAACAAATTCATGAGACATAATTTTATGTTGCTGTGTTTATAAGCATTTGCAAGAATTACAATTTCTCTAGGAACACTTGTTGAAGACATAAGAGAAATTCTATACAAATACTTCCAAATAAATCAATAAATATTTTGAAGTCACTGAGTGACTTCAAAGAAAAGACATGAAACTGGGAAGTGAAAATTATGTTGAAAAAACATGATTTAGGAGTAAGAAACAAGAGTGGTTAAAGGCTCGTAGACTCTAGAAACTTTAAAGCTATCCTAGGATCATAGGTTAAGACGTAGAAGGTCTCTCAGGGTCGTAAATAAACATTTATTAAGCACTTACTTTGTGCTAGGAACTGTACTAAGCTTTGGGGATACAACAAAAGGCAAAAGACAGGCCCTGCCCTTGAGCTCACAATCTAATGGGGTTAATTACTAATTACTCACTAATCTAACTGTGTATGTATATAATTGTACAAGCAAGCTATATACAGGATAAATTGGAAATAAGAGAGGGAAGACACAAGAATTAAGAGGGATTGGAAAAGAGAAGGGTTTTAGCTGGGTTGTGTGTTTTTTGTAGCTTGTCCTTTGTTCTCCAAGAGGACCATGACATCAGGAAGGTGATGACATGACTTGCAATTGAATTGGATTTGAGTCAGGGAGGGCAGTGCAGAGTCACCAGTGTCACTTTCTCTTCCAGAGCCATCTGGGTCCAGTGGCCAGATATAGATTAGGATGACTGGAGATGGCCCAGGATGCAGTGGGAGATGTTGGCCTTTTTAAGGTCTTTCTGGGTTCTCACTGTCTGTGGGGCAATGCCCATTCAGTGAATAGGCCTGCTTAAGAAGTGAGTCAAGGGATGGCCCCTTTAATAATGATAATTAATCATCATCATCATCATCATCATCATCATCATCATCATCATCATCATCTAACTGGGAAGGGAAGACCCTCAGAGTTGCTGGCAAAAAGAGAAATAATTACTATTTGCATTCACTCAGAGTCAGGAGGACCCAAAAAGTAAACATTAAGTGGGGCTTGGTCAGGGATCTATTGTCCAATCAAAGAGAGCTCCAGTGAATTGGCCTTAAGGCATGGACTTTAAGAAAGAAATCTAGGCAGTAAACCTAGGTAGGTTTCAGTCATCAAAATTTGCCTTCTTTTGAGCAGAACACCCTCAGGTAAGGGCATGATACTCCTTGTGGGGAGAGGAGAGGAGAGGAGAGGAGACTTGAAGGACTTGAAGGAAGACCAGAGATGAGGAGGGAGAGTGTTTCCTGTAAGAGGGACAGCCAATGAAAATGCCCTGAGGCAAGATGTTTTATCTGAGGAATAGTTAGGAAGCCAGCATCACTGGATCAAAGAGTAAATGGATCATTAAAGAGTTACTAAACACTTTAAAGGGAAACAGTAATTAAAAAGAGCCATCATGGCTTCATTAAGAACATGTCATGCCAGACTTACCCTTTTTCCTTTTTTGAACAGGTTACTAAGCTAATAGGGAATGCTATGGATACACTTAATTTTAGCAAAACATTTGAAAAAGTATCTTATCCTATTTTTTGGAGAAGCTAGAGAAATGCAAAGTAGATGCTAATGTGATTTAGAACTGACTGAATGACAACGCTAAAAAAGTAGTTATTAATAGTTTGTTGTCAAGTTGTCAAGAGGCCTCCAGTAGACTGCCCCAAAGGTCTGTGCTTGGCTCTTTGTTGTTGCTGCTGTTTTTTTAAAACACTTTTTGTTAGTGACTTAGAGAAAGGAAGTTATAAAGAGGCAAGTTGTTAAAAGTTAGAAAATCTACAGTGTTCAAAAGTGTAATGGGCTGCCTCAGGAGGAAGGAAGTTCCTCCTCATTGGAGGTCTTTATGCAGATAACCACTTGCTGGGCATATTATAGTAGGGGTTCTTAGTTGAGTATGAGCTGAATTAGATGGCTACTTGGGCTCCTTCCAGCTATAAAATTTTGTGGCTTTGTGAGAAATAATTTGGAGATCATCCTTGCTAAAGGTGTTGACACTGTCAAAGAGGATGTACTGTGTTGACACCACACATCCATGAATCAGGGGCAAGACTTAAACCCAGGTCTTCCTGACATCAAGGCTGGCCCTCTGTTTACTATGTCACATTCATTGATTCTCTTACAAGGATATAAACAATTAAAAGCATTTTGTGTGATCAAATATTTTTGGAAACAAATGGGATTAAAATGAGAAAACTATTTTTTAACCAATAATATAAGTTAAAGCATCCTACCTGGTCCCACAAGGCAGCAGCCACCTGGTCTATAACTGCTCCCAATTCTCGGTATTCCCCAGAATATCGGATGTACGCCCAGGTACAGAGAGTGATAAGGGTCAGTCCCATGATCATGTTGCATAAGCTGGCTATAATGTCCAAACCAATGAATCCCGTTACACCAGCAATGACATAAGTGATGAAAATGACCACAAACAGTGTGGCTGGGGTGCGTGCTGCATGAAAAATGTTCTTGCTGTCATTATGCTTGATATATTGTATGTAGAGCTCATCTATTTCACTCTCCAGTTGTTGCAAGTAACGACGGCTAAATTCCTCCCCACCCATCTTTTTGACCCCACGGAACAGCTTAATTGATTCCTCCTTGAGTTCCAGGTGTTTGTTCTGCAGGTCGGTGGGTGCTAGAAATGGTTTGTCACCCCCACAAATCTACAAAAGGTAGGAAAGGGTTGGGATTAAACATAATTGAGGACAGAAACATGTACACCAACCAATATAACTATTCACCATAACCACTGTCTTGTATTCAGATTGTCTTATAGTGTTCATTTTTCATAGGCAGGGTGGTCTGATAAAAACTAAACTCTGAAATATTTGAATTTTAACTAAAACTCTTATCATTGAAAATAAAGGGACCTTAAACTCTCTATCCCTCACATAACTAATACATTATCTTTCATACACAAAGAATAAATATTGAAAAATAATTATGGGATAAGTAAGGCATGGCATTTAAAATTGTTTTTCCAGTTGTGGTACTAGATCTACCCTGATCCATGCACATATTTTCAGTTTCCTTCTTGCTTTCTCTACCAAGGAAGATTATTTTTTCCTGTAGTTTACTTGGAGGTCTATAGATAGATGCCTGAATGAAACATGATAAAAAGTTGGCCAGAAAAAAGAAAAGTTGGCCAGAGTTGCCTTCCACTTTCTGTCAATGCACAATGTGCTTAGCACAGTGCCTGGCACAAAGTAGATGCTTAATAAATGTTTATTGACTAAAGGAATAAGAAGGAATAGCTGATAGAAATGCTAATTTGCTATATTATAAATGTGTTCAAAGCATTGCATTTTTATTCTTACCTCTTCCATTCTTTTGTTATATGTATCCTTGGCAGTTGCAACAGCTGCTAAATTGTTAGCCTCAGCTGTGGCCTTTGGACAAAATACAAAGATGTAAAATTTATTTCATATGTATTATATATTCTATATGATAATAAACTTATCTACAGGAAAATAAACTTAAGATTTTTCTCCAGCATAACATTAATCATCAGTGAATTCCAGTCATGAATATTAGGATAACATTTAAATCATCTTAAAACAAGGTTGCAACACTTGACAGCTGAATAATTACCTGCAACATTGATTTGGGATGGGGTAATTCTTCTCCTTGATAGATCTTTATATAAGCCTGTGAAATGACACAAAAATGCATACTTAAATAAATTTCATGAAATACAACTATTATTAGTATAAATTATGTTTGTAAGGACTTTTCAACTTTTTTATTTAGCAGAATCATAGAGTATTGGAGTTGGAAGGAGCTTCAGCTGTAACCTCATCTAACTCATACTCTCATAAGAATGTCCATTACCACATACCCAACAGGAAGTCAACCAGCCAACAAAGGGGAATCCACTACCTTTTGAGGCAGCAACATTACAATTTTGAGTAGCTCTAATTGTGAGATAATGTATCAGATGTCAAGCCTTAACTATATTTACCTCTTTGCAGCTTCTAGCTCAATCCTCTTAATTCTGCCCTAAGGGATCCAGTGGAAAAAGTCAATCCCTCTTCTGCGTGAATGTCCTTCATATGCCTGAAGACAATTATCATGCCTCACTTAACATCTCCATTTCTTCATATGATCCTCATATGATCTAGGCTCAAGGCTTGTCACTATTTGGTTATCCTTCTCTTGAATGCTTTCTAAGTTTCTTAAAATGTGACATCTACAACTAGACAAAATACTCCTGCTATAGTCTGACCAACAGAGTTTCATGTTATTTCTGCAAGCTATGCCTCCTTTTAGTACAGGGCAAGATGACTTTAGGATTTTTGGTTATCACATCACAAAACTGACACATACTGAGTTTATAGTATTTTTCATACAAACTACTAACCTTATCTCTCTCATTTTGTACTTGTGAAATTATTTTTTAACGAATGTGTAAGACTTTACATATATCCATATTAAATTTCATCTTTTTATATTTGTCCCAACATTCCACTCCTTCAAGATCTGTTTGGATCCTATTTGATAAGCATGCCATCTTTGCCTTTATCTAAGTGAGCAGAACAATTGATTGTCACTTTCCAAAAGAAATGGCATTAATGATTTGGTTATAGTTCCAGACCAGAAGGGAGATGGGAAAAGAGGAGACTTACAATTTATATAACCTAAGGAGACTTGAACCTAATTAATGATTATTAGCCAAATGACTTGTACTTGGCTTTTGGCCTAGCCTTTCAGAAATAAATATTCAGAAAATGTATTGAATAGTCACCATAAATTATGAGAACTCTTACCAAAGGGATGCACTCCTGTACCAGGAATAAAACACTAAGCCAAAGGCTAAGCTTGCCCAGATGATCCTGTTCTTCAACCTGGTTGGAAGGTAGCATGCTTCAAAGATGACACCCTTAACAAGAACCAAGGTAACTTCTGCTGGGCCTACAGTAAAAGCTCCTGCTCTCTCTAAGAACAGCAATGCTTCATTCAGCCTAGAATTATAGCTGAGATGGAAGCTGGAAGTGATAGAGAATACTATGGTTCTCCAGTAAGGGGGTAAGCCCAGAGAATTCAGGGGAATACCACACCAAGTGGAAATGTGGTGTCAATTACCAATCTAGCAGCAAAGTGACCAGGCCTTGAATCATGAGTTGCCTTGGCCCTAAATGTACCTTTTAGTCTATTAGTGTACTCTGTATTTACCCAGTCTTCCCAATGATAGTGTTGTTGTAGGCCAAGTTTTGTTATTGTTTGTGGTTTCATTCATGTTGGATTGTTTGTGACCCAATTTGGGGTTTTCTTTGCTTCTTCAGCTAATTTTACAGATGAAGAAGTGAGGCAAACAGGGTTGTGACTTACCCAGGGTCACACAGCTTTAATTGTCTGAGGTAAGATTTGAATTCAGAAAGATAAGTCTTCCTGACTTCAAACCAGGCATTCTATCCACAGAACCATCTAGCTTCCCTGCACGCGAAGACACCAGTGGAAATGGAGAGTTTTAAGTTAATCTCCACATATTCACAACTGTTGTGTGCCGAGACTTTAACTTTTACTAGTGGAATGATTTTGTGGCCCAACTGTGGGCCTTTGGACAAAAATATAAAAAGTCTTAGGACTTTGGCAGAGAAGCTCCTGAGACCCCAGGGAACCTCCTTGCTAACTGTTTTTAATTTATTGCTTTTATTTTCCTGGACTGCTTTTTACCTTGTGGTGAGTGCAGTGGATAGAATACTGGGGTGGAGTCAGAAAAAACAGAGTTCAAATCTGACCTTCAGACACTTACTAACTGTATGATCCTGGTCGAGTTGCTTAACTCCGGACAGAACAAAATTGGAGGAGGGAAATGACAAACCATTCCAATATCTTTGCCAAGAAAACCCCATGGACAGTTGGTCACAGACAGACACAACTCAATGATTGAACAAGGAGTTACTGTGAGTGATGAAAAGATATCAAGTATATTACCGAATACAGACTTCTTTATATATTATATATATACATATGTGTGTGTGTGTGTATACATATATATACATATACATATACATACACATACATGTATATGTGTGTGTATATATATAATATGTATATATATACATATATATACATATATATGTATATGTGTGTGTGTGTGTGTGTGTGTGTGTATATATACATATATATATGTAAAGTTTCAGCCCATAAGCAGCATGAAAATGAATAGAGAGTTAACCTCAGAGCTAAAAAGACCTAGGTTCGATCCTGCCTCTGAAACATATTGGCTGTGTGAACCTGGGTAAGTTACTTAATCAATGCTGCAGGAACTCTCTAGGTTTCAAGACAAGTGCAGATGTGTATTGGTAGAGGAATTTCTTACATTAATGAAATCACACATCTAGATTACCCTTTTTCATCTCCTCTCTATCCCCAAAGTCTAGAGATATGTTTGAAAATATAATATAGAATGTATGAGAATTGTTTAATATATTTCCATTTTAGTTCTGCCAGGTGTTAGAATAAATTTTATCCTTCATTCCACCTCGTTATCCCCTCTAGGCAAACACCACTGGAATGTTTTCTTCTGTAAGAGTTGAAAGTATAAACACCTCTTTGTTGGGGACTGGGGAGGTGAATCTGATATCTAATTTAGTGAATGAGGGTCATAGGATCTAAAACTAGAAGATTGTGCATTGGAAAGAATGCTGGATTTGGAGTTAGAGAATCTGGGTTTGAATCCCAATTCTATTATTTATTTTTAGCTGTGTGACCTTAAACATGTCACTTCCCCTTTTTTGTGTCTCAGTTTCCTGACCTTTAAAATCAGGGGGTTAAAATAAGTGATTGCAAAGGACCCAATTAACTTTTGAAATTAATTTTCTTCCCTCATTTTGCAAGTGGAAATAACTGGACCCAGAGAGATAAAGTGACTTGTCCAAGGTGACATAACCAGTTAGTGGCAAAACAGAGATTTTAATCAAGAACTACTTCTGGCTTCTGTAGGAGAAGCAGCAGGATAACAAAGAAGAATTTGAGTTAAATCAGGTGAGGAAAATTGTGAAGTTGAATTTGGAGAGTTTGAGATATACGAAGATCAGAGATTGAATGTGGGAAGGGGAAATTTGGGATAAATTTGGAAAAATGTTAAAGATCACAACCTCCAGGTTTATATTCATCTTTCAGCTTCTGTAAAAGAAAATTAAAGGAAAAGCAGCGGGAATAACAAATACTTAAAAATACTTTTTCATTCATTCTTTTTCTTAATAAAAAAGGAATAAAAAACCACTAGAACTGTTTCTAAAAATTTAATTTCACGAAGAAGGCCTCTATTAGAAATCTTTTCCCTTTTCCCTCCATCCTACCCCACTCCCTCAGATTCTCTCTTTCAATTAATCTCTATAACTAACACAACTCTTGATTCTTCACATCATGAAGACAACTCATCAATGCATCAAATGTAAGGAAATAAACATTCTTTGGAATTGAGGAATAAATACCTTGAAGTATTCCACTAGACCTCGGCAGGTGATTTTATTTCCATTGATTTCTTTAACATCTAGGTTCTCAGGACTAAGTAGCCAAGGGATCAAAATTTTCAGGTTCTTAATGAATTCATCATCTATTTCTATAAGTAAAAGCAAATTCATCATTATTTAAACAATCTCCACCCAGCTTTATGCTCTCTAAATAGCATTGCTACCACTCTTTTTTTTTTACTCTCAATTCTTTCCCTCAAGCAAAGCAACTGTAATAGAATAAGCAGCTCTGATAGAATAAGTTAAGCAGCAGTAATAGAATGCCCTTCCTCAAGAGCAATTACTTTTGCCTTTGTATCTTCAGAATCTCTTTGTACTGGTAGGTGACTAATAAATATTCATTGAATGGAATTGAAATCCCTGCTCCTCCATGAAGGAAGTTCTTTCCAGATTGACTAGAAAAAAATCATCAGTTTCCTCAGTCTAGGATCTGAATTTTTCACAACTTTGTCCCTTATACCTGCTTACCATACTTATTATACAATTACCTTTAACTCACATGTTATAGAAATACATTATTGTCCACTTATATGACAACAAATTCTGTTTTTAAATTATTTTGTGGATTATGTTCATCCATGTGATTGGTACCAATCTCACAATAATACTTTGTAATTCAATGACTTCTCTTCCTTGAAATAACACTATTTCATTAGTAATATGAAATGTGCATATGCTACATCACCACTTTGATCAACTTTCTATAGAAGGTGTTAGAGTTAGAAGGGCTTAAGTTTCCACAGGTAGAATAATGCAGAGATTTAAAGAACAACAGCTCCAGGAAGTAGTACACTGTAGGTGGGCTCAGGCTTAGCCAATAAAAAGTAAGTGCATTGTTCCCAAAAGACCCCAAAATCAAGATAAGGGTCGAGCCAGCTCAGACCAGTTAGGGTCAACCTGAGGACACCTGAAAAATGTTAGTGCGCCTGCTTAATGAACTTCATTACTATTATCTGACATACCCTGCATAAAATTAGAGCCTCATTACCGAGTCATGGGACCTATGACCAAGGGAGGGGGAACATACTTGAGCATATCAAGGGGAAACATGTAAAGAAAGGTGTAACCTGGGAATGGTTGGACCAATCCCGTCTTGGGAGGTTTCTTGCCGAATTCAACTGCATAAAAGCACACTTTCCCTTGCACTCAGGGCCCACCCCTCCTGAAGAGGGGTGGAGCCCGCTTCTGGCCAGAAACATCTAAATCCTCTGGACTTTCTTTATAATAAATTTTCTTGATACTAAATTTTTGGTGTCAAGCCTATTTCTAACATCCACAGTCTCATAATTAAGGACCTATTTTGACTAACCTATTCTGTTCTGACTTTTTTTTTTAAATTCATGAAAGGCATGAATGATGATTCTAGTTAATACTTTAAACATTAAACCTCAAAACCCCTTTAAAGGAAATCCTACAAAGATAATTTAATTATGCCTACTTCTTTGATCAATAGAAACCTTGGTCCTAGAAGCTCCCTGTTTAAAAGTATTTTAATAAAAACCTACTGAAGTCATCACACAAATGCTCAGTATCAAAATGTCTACTCTTACATTAGAGTTTTTGCATTTTATAGGGGGTAGTGAAAGTAATAGGATCTTGTTATTGAAAATAAAATATATTCCCAACAACTATTTTTTCTGCATGTAAGTGATGTAAAGTGATTATTTAAAATACTTATACCCTTTGACTCAGAGATCCTAGGGCAAGGGATATGACCATAGGAGGTCAAAAACAGAGAGATCCTTTATGTACCAAAAATACATGTAGGGGTGTGTATGTGTGTGTGTGTGTGTGTGTGTGTGTGTGTGTGCGTGCTTGTGCACATGCATGTGTATGGCAGCAAAAACCGGAAGCAAACATCTAAATACCCATCAATTGGGGAATGACTTAAAAAAAGTGTGATACATGAAAATGTGGTTTGTGGAGCAGAATTTGTGGAATATTACTACAGTGTTAGAAACAGTTTTCTTGGTCAGGGAACCATAGGTTGCAGTCTAGGTGTGCTGGGAATCCTGAAATGCAAGGGTACACGGTACAAGTCTCCCTTGAAAGAACGTGGTCACTTAAGCCTTCTTTCAGTCTAAGTAGTGAGTTTATTAAGACAGAGGTTGGGTGGGCAAGAGTTTTAGTAAACCTGCAGGATTTGTGACACCAATACAAGTGGGTCAGATTTTAAGAATCTGCCCATTTAATGAGGATAAGATGGATATTTTTATACAGAAAGATTGTGGGAAGATCTGGAGTGGCAAGTAGCCTGAGGTGGTCTGGAGGTAACAGAGAAAGGGGTCTACATGGGATTAAGGAGTGGCAAGTAGCCTGGGGTGGGCCAGGTGCAGACAATGAGGGCCAAAATGAAAGGGCAGTTAAAAGGATTATTGACTGGCATAGGCTGGGTGCCTCAGGCGAATGCCAGAGATCTGGGTTCAGGGGCTTTGGGGTCCAGGTCATAAAAACATGGTTTTTTTTTCCTTTTGGGGGTTCAACATGAATCCCATCCCCATCATTATAACTGCAACAATACAAAAGGAAAAAACAAAAAACTAAAACTGAATGCCACATAATTATAATGACCTAGCTTGATCTCAGAGAAGATTTGAGAAAATGCACTTCCCTCCCTTATTTGCAAGGATAAGAGGCCATGTATGTGGAATATTACATATATTGTCAGACATGGTTGATGTATTGATTGCTTCTGCTGAACTACTTTTTAAAAAATCTACAAGAGTAGGGGAGTGAGATGGATGTATTCAGAAATGAAGGTAATTTTTTTTTTAAGGCAATTGGGGTTAAATGACTTGCCCATCGTCACACAGCTAGTAAGTGTCAAGTGTTTGGTCTGAGGCGGGATTTGAGCTCAGGTCCTCCTGACTTCAGGTCTGGTGCTCTGTCCACTGCGCCACCTAGCTGCCCCGAAATGAAGGTAATTTAAAAACAAAACATATCAATAAAATAAGATTTTTTGTAATTAAAATAAAATATAGAGGTAATAGAGTTTAAGAATTGACTGGCATTCTGGGATTTGTAGTTCAGAGGGACCATTTTGATCTTTGAGTTTAGACTTTAGTCAAACCTGAGAGTTTTGAAAAGGGACACAGTCTGCAACAGAAAGATTAAAAAAAAAACCCCCAGCATAACACACAGAGCAGTATTCTGCCTGCTACAAAAGTATGGGAAAATAGTGGAACAGACTGTAAGAGACCAATACATATCCCAATTGTTAAGGAGTAAAGAGAACAATGCCAGAGACTTTGAAAAGCTGACAAAAAGTCTACTTGTGAGAGCATGGAAAAATAGTTGTATGGCTAACTGAAACAAAGAAGTTGGACTGGTGACGTCAGTTGCCATCACCACTTTAAAAATTAAGAACTGAGGAGAGCTTTGAAAGGTTTTTACTCTCCTCAGTTCCTGTCTCTGTGTTTATTTGTTAACAGAAGTCTCCATGTAATTTCACTGCTCTTTATTTAAACTGTCTTTATTCTGTTTTTTTGGTTCTGCTTTTTCTATATTTTGCTTCCTATAAATATTAATGATCAATCATAAATGCTTGTATTACATATCTATATAATTATTTAATACCTGTAAAAGGATATCTAAGCCAGTATCTAAGAGAAACTTAATCTTATTCTAGTGATCAGACTTCAATTCTTGTCTGGTGAGCTTAAGAGCTATATGTGATTTTAAGATAGAAGAGGAAGGGATTCATCTGGGCCATGGGGACATGTTTACTTCTAAATTCATTGTTATAGCTACACACACATACACACACACACACACACACACACACACACACACACAGAGCTATATATGTGGCTTCTTCAGCCTTAGGGACTACATTTAAAACTCTAGTCTCTAATGTGGAAGAGAAGAAGATGGGGAGTAGAGGGAAGTTTATACCCTTAGGGTCAACCAGTGCTTCAGGAATAAAGTGAGAGTTCAGCTACTTTTGCTCCAGAGTGCTATCTGACAGTTATAAAGGGGTGGCACCAATAATGGAGAAGCCTAACTTCTATCAAAGTCAGTACGAGGTATATGTGAAAAAAGGTCTATAAGCATAGGGCAAAAATAGTGGTTAGACCTGCTCCAAGGTCTTTGGCAAGTTATGTTACAGTGTATTTTTTAGAAATTATTTTAGAGCCACTGCCACAGGAAAACACTAAATTCCATGTAGCACAATGAAAACAGATCACAGCAATAAGAAAACAAATATATGAATAGAATGACTTAATTTAAATTTCGGAGTTCCAAGCAAAAAATTTAAGAAAGGGTGTTTTTACTGGCACAGTGGCTAAAGGAGCACACGGAGTTCAAATCAGGCCTCAGACACAATTAGCTGTGTGACTGTGGGCAAGTCACTTAACCTCTATTTGCCTTAGTTTTCTCATCTGTAAAATGGGGATAATAATAGCATCACTTCCCAGGGTTGTTGTGAAGATAATGCAAGATAATATATGTAAAGTGCTTGGCATAGTAAGTAAAACATAGTAAATACTACATAAATGTTACCTATTATTATTATTTTACCCTTTTCAACTGCAACATAGATAGATGTTATAATTGGTTACTAGGGTATAGTATAGACTTTTTTCTTTTTTTCTTTGTAGATTTATAAATCTTAAATTTAGAATACAATATTATAATGCTTCTATCAAAGAATATCTCTTTTGGAGATGATACCTAAGAAAAATTTTCATTTCCATTCTCAATATTTTAGTTTTTTGGTATCTGTTGAAGAAGTTTGCATTTAGTAGTTATAAAATGTTTTTCTGTGTGGATCAATAATTAGCCAATTTATGTAACATTCCCTTGACAAGTATCAATGTTCCCTTAATAAGTTTGAATGCAAAACCAAGATTATTAATTCTTAGTTATATGCAGGTATGATTCATTCTTGTATCCAACTTCAACAAAACTTAATAGCAGATTTACATAAATAAAGATTCTAGAAATGTGTCATAGATTCACAGATATTCTAGTCTCTTGCCATTTCCCTCAAAGAAACCTAAGTCCAGTGGAAGTCAGCAGTAGTGAAACTAATTGGGTTGCCTAGTAGGTAGAAATATCAAAGAAATTCAAATTTACATCTGTAAACAAGTTCACATCACTACAGACCTTTGAGTTTTCCATTGAAATTTGGGTTGGTGGCAACTTTTAGGCCAGGATGAGGTAGTAGAAAACAGGATATATTGGTGAAACAGGAATGGATATGCTTTCGTACATTCTGAAGTTCTTCATGCTGGTTCCCTGAGACCTGAAATAAACCATCTTGACATTTAACTCAAGTAGAAAACTCAAGACACAATTTTAAATTTAATTTGCATCATTAACATTTTCTGCATCACTTTCTTAATTCTAGACAATCAAGAAAGCAATAATACAAATCCTGACCTGTGGCCGTTGCAGATTCCCAAGGTGTAAATGCTCACAATGAAAATTTAAAGTTGGCTCTTATGAACCAATTTTAGTTGGTGCCAGCACATCCTCTGCATTTAACTGTGCCTTCTAGACCAGTTCACATAAGTCTTCCCAGGTTTTCTAAAACCATCCTGCTTGTCATTTCTTATAACATAATGGTATTCTACTGCAATTATATACCATTGTGTCTTTAATTGTTAAAGTCAACTCCATAAGAATTTGCACTTGAAACTTGGTAGTTTGATTGGTATGGCATTGAAGAAGTAATTTAGGTAGAATTATAATTTTTATTACATTGGCTCAGCCTACCCATGAGCAATTAATATTTCTTCAGTCATTTATATCTATCTTTATTTCTATGAAAAATATTTTCTAATTGTGTTCATATGGTCCCTGGGTTAGTCTTGGCAGATAGACTCCCAAGTATATTACCAGCAGTTATTTTCAATGGAATTTCTCTTTCTATCTATTCCTGATGGGTTTTGTTGGTAATATATAGAAAAATTGATGGTTTGTGTGAGTTTATTTAATTTCTTGCAACTCTCTTAAAGGTAATTGTTTCAATTATTTTTTAGCTGATTCTCTGCGGTTCATCAAATATACCATCATATCATTTGCAAAGAATGTTTTGTTTCCTCATTGTGTATTTTTATTCCTTCAATTTCTTTTACCTAGCTTATTGCTATAACTAGCATTCCTAATATAATTTTGAATAATAGTGGTGATAATGGACATTCTTGCTTCACCCTTAATCTTATTGGGAAGGCTTCTAGTTTATTGCTATTACAGATAATTTTTGCTCTTGGCTTTACATTGATACCACTTTGCATTTTTAGGAAAACTCTACTTATTACTATGCCTTGGTAGTGTACTTTCCAGGGATGTGCACATTGATAATGAGGTTGACACATGCATTGCCAGAGCTAGCTCAGTGTTTGGGAGGCTCTGAAGGAAAGTATGGGAGAGAAAAGGTATTAGACTGACTACCATACTGAAGGTCTACAGAGCCATTGTGCTGACCTCATTGTTATATGCCTGTGAAATCTGGACAGTATACCAGCACTATGCCAGGAAACTGAATCACTTCCATTTGAATTGTCTTACAATTCTGAAGATTCTGAAGATCACCTGGCAGGATGAGATACCAGACACTGAGGTCCTTTCTCGAACTAAATTGCCAAGCATTCAAACTCTGCTTCAGACAGCACAACTCCAATGAGTTGGCTACGATTTTGAATGCAGAACATACACTTGCCAAAAAGAGTATTTTATGGAGAACTCACACAGGGCAAGCATTCACGTGGTGATCAGAAAAAAGTGATACAAGGATACTCTCAAGATCTCACTTAAGAACTTTGGAATTGATCATATGACATGGGAGACACTGGCAAAGGACTGCATGCCCACATCAGAAAAGGTGCTGCGCTCTATGAGCAAAGCAGAATTGAAATAGCTCAAGAGAAACACAAGATATGCAGACTTAGAGAATCTACTCCAAAGATTCACATGGACTATTTGTGGCTGACTTGTGGTAGAACATTTTGACCTTGTATTGGTCTGATCAGCCACAGTCAGACACACTAAAACTTGACTCCAGCATAGTGATGTCATTTTGGTCCTCTTTGAAAATGAAGGACAACAACCAGTGTTTTTAAATAGGATTGGTTTTATATTTTGTCCAAAGTTTCTTTTTTTATACATTGATATAATCATATGATTTTTTTTATTATTAATATGGTCAATTATATTTATATTTTTTCCTACTATTGAACCAGCTCTGGTTCATAACATATGACCTTTGTGACATATTGCTATAATCTCCTTGCTAGCATCTCATTTAAATTTTTTGCATCAATATTCATTAAGGAAATTGATTTATAGTGGAGGTGGAGATGGTGGAGAAAAGGCAGGAATTTGTCTGAGCTCTCCCCAAAACCCTTCTGAACAACTTTAAATAATGCCTCAAAAAATTCTGAAGGACCCACAAAAGGACATAGTGAAACAATTTTCAAGCCCAAGACAACTTGGAAGATTGGCAAAAAAGGTCTGCGCCATAGTCAGGATAATATAAGATTTAGCAGCTTCTGCATTAAAGGATCAGAGGGCTTAGAATATGATATTCTGGAGAGCAAATGAACTGGGATTACAACCAAGAATCACTTACCCAGCAAAACTGAATATAATCCTTCAGGGAGGAAAATGGATATTCAATGAAATAGAGAACTTTCAAGCATTCTTAATGAAAAGACCAGAGATGAACAGAAAATCTGACTTTCAAATACAAGACTGAAGAGAAACATAAAAAGTTAAATAGGAAAGTGAAATCATTAGGGATTCAATAAGGTTAAACTGCTTACGTTACTATATAGGAAACGATAATGGTAACTCCTAAAAGCTTTCTCATCATTAGGGAAGTTAGAAGGAGCATATATAGACAGAAGGCATGGATGTGAGTTGAATATGATGGCATAACAATCTAAAAAAAATTAAGGAGTGAGAAAGAAGAATGCACTGGGAGAACAGGAAAGGGAGAGGTAGAATGGGGTAAATTATTTGAAAGGGCTTTTACAGTGGAAGGGAAGATGGGGGATGTGTGTGAGAGTATGTGAATTTTATTGTCATTGAAATTGGCAGAGAGGAAATAACATACACACTCAGTTGGGTATAGAAATTTATCTTACCAAACAGGAAAGTAGGAAGGGAATGGGATAAGAGAAGGAAGGGTGGATTAGCAGAAGTAAAAGTCAGAAGTAAAATACTTTTGAGAATGGATAGAGTGAAAAGAGAGAGAGAGAGAGGGAATGGGGGAAAATAGGATGGAGTGAAATATACAGTAATCATAACTGTGAAAAAATTTATATCAAGTTTCTCTGATAAAGACTTCATTTCTTAAATATATAGAGAACTGAGTCAAATTTATAGACATAAGAACCATTCTTCAATTGATAAGTGGTCAAAGGATATGAACAAGCAGTTTTCAGGTGAAATAATAAAAGCTATCTAAAGTTTTGTGAAAAAAATGCTCTAAATCACTGTTGATTAGAGAAATGCAAATTAACACAACTCTGAAGTACCACCCTATACCTATCAGATTGGCTAATATGACAGGAGGAAAATGACAAATGTTAAGGGGATGTGGGAAAATTGGGACACTAATGCAATGTTGGTGGAGTTGTGAACTGATTCAACCACTCTGCAGAATCCAGGGCCAGTGCTCTATCCACTGCACCACGTAGCTGCCCCAATTCAACCACTCTGTAGAGCAATTTGGAACTATTCTCAAAGGGCTATAAAACTGTGCATACTTTTTGACCAAGCAATACTACTACTAGATTTGTCTCCCAAAAAAGGAAAAGGACCTATTTGTGGAAAAATATTTATGGCAGTTCTTTTTGTAGTGGCAAAGAAATAGAAGTTGAAGGGATGTTCATCAGGGAATGGCTGAACGATTTGTTGTATATGATTGTGATGGAATACTATTGTGTTATAAGAAAAGAGGAGCAGGATGCTCTCAGAAAAACTTGGAATGACTTACATGAACTGATGCAAAGTGAAAGGAGCCAAACCAGGAGAACATTGTATATAGTAAAAGCAACATTGTATATAGTAACAGCAATATTGAATGACTTAGCTATTCTCTGCAATAAAATGATCCAAGACAATTCTGAAGGATTTGTGATGAAAAATGCTATCCTCCTCCAGAGAAACAACTGAGGAAACATGAATGCAGATTTAAGCACACTTTTTCTTTACTTTCTTTTTAATCTCTATATTTTCTTTCACAACATGACTAACATGGAAATGTTTTGCATGACTGGACAAGTCTCAACTATATCAACTTGCTTGCTTTCTCAATGGAAAGTGAGGGAGGCAGGAAGGAGAGAATTTGGAGCTCAAGTTTTTAAAAAAACCAAATGTTGAAAATTATTTTTACATGTAATTGGAAAAAATAAAATATTAAATTCATAGTTTTCTTTCTCTGTTTTTGCTTTTTCTGATTTAGGTATCAGCACCATATTTGTGTCATGGAATTTGGTAGGACTCTTTCTTTACCTACTTTAAAAAATAATTTATATAGTGTTGGAATTAATTATTCCTTAAATGTCTGGCAGAATTCATTTGTAAAACCATTTAAATGATCCTGTGGATTTTTTCTTGGGGATCTCATTTATGGTTTGTTCAATTTCTTTTTCTGTTAATTTGAGTAATTTATATTTTTGTCAAGTTTATTGACATAAAATTAGGCAAAATAGCTCCTAATAATGGTTTTAATTTCAACTTCATTGGTGGCGTATTTGCCCTTTTCATTTTGGATGCTAGTAATTTTTTACTTTCATTCAAATCAACTAAATGCTTTATGTATTTTATTATTTCCCCCCAAATCAATAAGTCCTATTTTTTTATTTATTACCAATGGTTTTTTACTTTTAATTTTGTTAATTTCTTCTTTGATTTTCAGAATTTCTACTTTGGTGTTGAATTGGGGATTTTTAATTTTTTGATTTTTCTAGGTTTTTAGTTGCATGCCTAATTCATCAATTTCTACTCTTTCTCTCTTTTATTAATGTATGCATTTAGTGATATAAATTTTCCCCTAAATACTGCTTTGGCTCCATCCCATAAATTTTGGTACATTGTCTCATTGTTGTCATTATCTTTAATGAAATTATTGATTGTTTCTATTATTTATTTTTTAACTAGATGTTATATAGGATTAGTTTCCAAGTAATTTTAAACCTATATTCCATAGTCCTTTATTGAATATACTGTTTACTGCATTATAGCCTAAAGATGCATTTGATATTTCTGCTTTTCTTCATTTTTGTGAGGTTTCCA